AAACGTCTGCTCGTTGTCTCAGGCGCAAGCGTGTTTCGTCTGCAGGCCCCCCGCCCTCCGACCCCAAGAACGTGCATACAAATGACGCTTAGTTGGCCACCTGCGCGTGAAAAATAAGAGGTGCCCCAACGCCGAGTGACTGCAGATACGCTCCCGGTGTGGAGGCTGGGGGGGTGCCGGAGGATACGCAGGAAGCACAGCAGCACCGCGCGCACCAGACAGCTCCGGGTTCTGCCGAGCTGAGATGGCTTCCTGCTCCCTGCCGGCTGGGCTATTCCTGCCCAGACACATAATACACCAGTATGCAGACAATTCTGCATCATACAGTACTACGTGAGACAGGGAGTTGTTCAATTTACAGCACACAGAGACATACTCATGCTTTTTCTGAGATTTATTTTCTTCCCACTTATATTCCACCTTTATTAGCTTTGTTCCACTCTAAGTGCAGAAGAGGATAAAGTGTTTGACTTAATTACCCAAAATGAAGTCATGAAAAGTTCAACTATATCTAAAGCTAAAGGCAGAGTTGCTCAACTTTGGAGAGGTACTAACTACAGCTACACATCTCCTCAGTGGGAGACTGCTTGTCTGCTCCTGGCCCATCAGGACTTCTCTGTGCTTCAGTTCTTCATCTCTGAAAATGAGGATGACAGTACAGACTTCTTTCTCCAGGGAATTGTGGGGATGCGTAAAGCATCATTTCGACCCAGACTCTACAGTAATGTATATTGTAATGTAAAATATAAATGGAAGGGTACTGAGAAATCATGTCTCGTTCTTCATTTTTCCTCTGCCAAATAAAGCTGAAAGTCTAAGGGCTATTTACCAATTTCCACAGGTGCTCATACCGACCAGCGGCATGTTATGATTAACATTATTACTAAATGACAAGGCTCTGTAGATAGGGGTGACAGCCCATATTGTACGGGTACATGTCTCCTTGTTAGCAGTTTTGTGAATATGGTGTGAGCGTATTCCTGAGCATCTATCCTTGGATATAGAGATCTCCCAGATGTTTACGTTTTAAAGGGGCTTT